CCACACCGTAGAACGACGTGGATGTCCGGTTTTAGAGAGGCCCTCAGCTGCCCATCAGCCGCCAACCACGGTCATCTTCTCGCGTTGTTATTGGGAAACATCTCTTTGTAAAATGCGGTCAACACGAAGTCAAGAACCTTTTTCCTCTTGAAGTTATGGAGCGAAGTTCCAGTATTGGCAACCAGTACTGCTTGCTCGCGTCGCTCAGAATAGGCCGAACCCATTTTCTATCCTGAAAGGCCTTAACAGTCGCACGTAGGAACTTTTAAATTTTTCTGTTGACACAACTGAATCTCCATGCAAGTTTTGTGCGGTTGTCGAGGACTCAATTCGTTGGCTTTCTTTATTTCTCCGTCATCTAGAGCTAGAGGTCAAAATCCACGATCTTCGTCCTCAGGTCCTTTACCTCAGTCTTGGAAGAGCTGAAACCATAGCTGAAAGTGCATCAGAGACTAAGTGTTACTGCTCAATGTTTTGCACACAATGAGTGGAGATTCGTTGGCCGTTTTTCTTGCTTGAATATATACGCTCAGACGATGATTTCTGATCAGTCATCTTCGAGCAAAAGTTTGGCTCGAAGAACATCCGCTCAGTGGCGCCTAAGATTTCGCAATATGCGCGCTGAATCGCTCTCTCGAATGAATGGTCTCCCATCCTAAGAGATTGTGTTTAAGCTGAGAAACAAAGGCACAAACGGAAGCGACATTGTCACTCTTGCCAACCAATAACTTTATTAGTCATGCAAAGGTCATTCGGTCTGCTAGACTTTGTTAGTTCTAGAAAAATGATGGATGTTTATTGGTATTGGAGCTATGAGAAATTACTGCTTTATCATCTGCTTTCCTTAATACCATCAGTAAAATCAATTGAAAGCAGTATGTTTCTCAATACAACAGCCCGGCTATACTCTGTTTCACAGAAGCCTATGTTGACATGCGCGCGATAGCGGGCGGAGCAAAACTGGTAACATAAAGCGTGAGACAATATAGAATCTGCTAGAAG